GGGGGGGGGGCTCTCTCCACCCAAATCACTGCTCTCCCCATCCCCTTCTGGGGGGCGAAGAGTTTCCCCCCGAAGCCTGGCTTCGCATCACTCCACGTCCCCTCCAAGCTCTCCTCTTCCACCGGGTAACGCGCTGCTCCCCCTCTTCGTGACCCATCTCTCCCTTCCCACCCCCTCCGCAGGGCCTGCCCTGTGCCGGCTGCGCTGTGGGGTGGGTGCTGTGTCTGTGTGTGAGGGGGGTGCTGGGTGAGGTGGGAACACTTTGCTTGCTTTGTCTATCTCATTTCAAGAGCCACGCTTGATTTTCCCTGTGTAACTGTCTGATTGTAGTGCTGGAGACCGAGTTTTCAACTCAGGAATTTCAGAAACATACCTAAAGTAAACGTAGTAAGTGCTATATTTAGCTAGAAGCGTTTTATTTCTTTGCTGAGTGAGATGCTGCTTCTGCTTCGTTAACCTATTGTATTCCCAGTGCCTATCCCGTGTTGTAAAATCTGTGTCTTTTCTAAGAATTAATGGTTTCTGGCGAGCTCTCTGAATCAGTGAAGCACAAATCTGTAGGAGCTGGCAATCAAGGGTTTAGTATCTGACTGATGGAGTGGAGAGAGGCCTTGAATGTCCACAGTAAGCCTGAGAGCTGCAAATCATAACTTGCATCATCAGAGTTAGGAAATTTACTGTCTGAAGTACTTGGATAAGCAGATAAATTAAACCAAAGCTCTAGCTAGATAATGATGATGATAATGCCATTTATGGAGCAGCAATGCCAAATTGTGAATGGCTGCATTTCTGCCTGTAGTTGCTCAGTGACCTCTACAGAGGGCAGAAATGAACTGGTTTAGAGTTAAGACTTTTGAAAGGAAATCTTTAGTCTCTGTAGACATAAAGGCAGCATGTAGGTACCATGGTGACTGATGCTCTATAAATAACCACGATGGGGATAACACATGCCCCAGTTGAAAGGAGCTGCTGAACTGCTGCAGACCTGGAGAATGTTACAAACAGGAACTCTCCTCATTTCTCAGGCATGAAGAAAACCTACAGTAACTGCAAGGGCTTTTTTAAGGCCTCTGTGCTGTGGGGATGAAGCAGAGAGATTCTTGGGAGGAAATGCTCATGAAGTATGAAATACTGTGTTACTCTGAAGAGTAACTGATGTGTAGGTACCCTTTGGTTTGGTGGGAACGGGTTGGTTTACACTGACTTACTGATTTTTACGTCTTGCCCTTCAGTTCACTGCACAGAGAAGATGGCTGCTCTGGAGAAACAGCCGGACCTGAGGCTCCAGCAGGACAATCCATCGGGTAAGGACAGTCTTTCCTTGAAAGCCCTGCTGCTGTCAGATCCTGTTTCAGGTTCCCTGAGGAGGCAGATGGCCTTGAGGAGAGTTCATTACCAGAAGCAGCTTTTTAGTTGAAAACAATGTCTGCCAAATAAAACGATTGCATTGGTATGCATGAGGAGAGAGTTGTTTGTTAGCAAACCCATCTCTTGAGTGATAAGTGATACATCTGGAAGAACTCTTACCAGTTAATGTAAAAATGCATCTTTAACAAGTTTTGCTGTGGGCCAATGCTGCTGCTCTTCTGTTTCATCTGAGTACCAGAGCACCAGCTGGGTGTAATATCACCCAACTCATCAATGGGAATATAATTTACTGCTTTTGCCTTCTGACTTCCATTACTGGATTGACTTTTTTCAGTCTCCTGTTGATATCATTTGACTCCCCTGTGTTTGCTTCCATTTTCTTTTGCAAAAGAGGCTTCTGAACTCAGAACATGTAGCAACAATATGGGCAGTCAAGCAAGGATGGGTTTGGGTAGAATGGGCAATTAGAAATGGCTTAAGTAGGTGTATTAAAAGGCTTTTCAGTCTGTTGGCTGAAACATAAATATTCCTGCTTTTTCTCTCCAGATCCCAGTGCCAGCCAGAAGAGTCATTTCCTGGAGACTGACTGGAAAACACCCATGTTGTCTGGGAAGTTCCAGAGCCGTGTCAGCTGCAGTTCAAGCGTGGCCGACAGCGGGGATGGGGGCATTGGGACCTCCTGCTCAGACAGCACAGAAGGTGATGGTCAGCATGGGGTCACACAGGAACAGACAGCTTCAAGCATTAAATAGCCTGATATTACTGAACCCTGTAATGTAAAACCTGGGAGAGAGCAGGATCTGTAATGATGTTTGGACACTGTTTCAAAACCAGGACCTCAGCACACAGATAATGCTGACTGAAACACAAACAAGTGATTAAGGGACTTGCTGTTTCTCTGAGCTGATTTCGTTCACTTCTAACTGTAGTAAGCACTTGAACTGACTAAAAGAGCCACCTTGTTTGATTTGCTGGTTCATACTGACCAAGTGATCTACCAGCAAGTGTGATGTGATTTCTTTCTTTCAAGAAATAATTTACAGGTGCCTCTAGAGGCTTCAGATCAGTGTGCCTTTGTAAGTGTCCTCAGTGTTAGGGCTGTGTGCTGCTCCCTGAAGAAGGCTGCAGCTTGTCCCTCACCTGAGGTGTGTTCTGTGGAATTGCTTGTCCCAGCAATCCTTTCCACCTGTATCTTCATCCACAAAAGTGACATAAACCACTGTTGATTCACTGATCCTTCTTTTGGCAGTGAGGAAGTTTGTGGTGGTGGTTAAAACAATGTACTTTGTACATTCATGTGTTTCACAAGCTGCCTTGGCAGCCATAGATCAGAATATGTGAGTTAAAATGCAGGGTTTTTTAGGTCTGGCGTGTGGAAATAATGCTGGAAATATTACTAGAGCACATGTTAAAGTGTCCCCTTTAGTGCCTCTCAGGATAATAAAACATCCAAGGCAGGGGAGATAACGATGGCCCTTTCAGAAATTGCCCTTTGGAATGTTTGTCATGTTGTTGCCTTGTTTGTAAGAGCTGAGGGTGAATTTCTGCCTGTCAGGTCGTGTGTGTGTTGGAAACGTTGTGACAAGCCTCAGCACACTGAAGGAACCAATTGCAGCATCCACATGTGACGTGTTGCTCAGAGAGCTCGAGTTCCTGACAGTGACGCTGGGATACAAATCCGGGGGCTGTAAAAGGAAATTGTCCTGTCCCTTGTGTTTGCTGAGGTGAATGTGCTTCTGACTGCTTGGTAGCAGGGTGTTCTCTGGAGTTCTAGACATGGCCAAGTAAGGTCTGAGAGGTTTCCCCCCACTTCCTGCCCATTTTTTAAGGGAGTACCTTGTGCCTTTACTGTGACAGTTTTCCTGTGGTTTGCTCTTTGCAGAATCTGGTTTCAGTCCTGTTCAACTTTAACCTTTTATTCCTTCTTGTAGCAATGCTTTGAGGTTACAAACAGGTGAAGTCTTGAGGTTGGATCATGGGGGGTGGGCCTTTAGCCAAATGCATGAAGAAAACAAGCTTATGTAGCTGGGAGGAACCTGGAATTAGTGCAGTACACAACGTGTGGGGACAAGGAGTGGGAACAGGCACTTTGCTGTTTGCCTTTCTCAGTTCTTGCTGTTGCTGTATTGAAATCTGAGAGTTGCTAAGAATAACCCTGCACTTCCCTGTAGCCAGGTTGGTGCCCGTCTGCCATGGCGGGCTCACGTTGGGGTGCGTGTGCCGAACTCTGTCTCGTTTCCTTTGGCAATAAGGCAGAGCCATTGCTCTAGGAAAAGCTCTTTTGCTGCAGCGTCCTGGAGGAATCCGAAGGTCAACTGCTGGTGATCCAGTGTTCAGCTATGTTTGAAGCTCATCATGGGCTTAGTGAAGGCTCCAGTTAGCTTTGGTTACGGTTCAGAGTCGCTGAGCTGTGGGACGGGCAGAACAGAATCAAGGTCTCAGTGTTCAGCTGAGTAAGTTCCAGCCTTTTTATTCAATTTAAAGGATTTGATTTCTAAACCTATAGAAAGATAACCTTATTGACTTAAGGTTATACTAGAGTAGCTTAATAACAGGGGATTAAAAATGTATGCTGAATTAAACTCGGATTCTCCTTGTGGTATGGTGGTAGGAAAATGTCAGCAGGCTCCTAAAACTTGGAATGAGGGGGACCATTGGTGTGCCTTAGTCTTGCTGCTGCTGTTTAGGAGGACATGTTCAGGGGGAAGAGAGTCAGGTTTGTAAATTCTCCTGGAAAGTTCAGCAGAGGAGTTGCTGTTCATGTTGGACTGTTTTCAGGGTTGTAATCAGAGCATTGTTCTTCTTTCCCCAGACTTTGGCAATTCCAGTAACGGTTCCTCATTCCAGCCCATCAAAGCCCAAGTGACCATCCCAACAGCCCATGTCATGCCTTCTACATTGGGTGCCTCACCCTCCAAGCTGTGTCCTTCAGGAGACCAGAGCTGTTTACAGACTCCATCAAAACCTGCTATGCCAGGATCTGCTGGTTCTGAACACCCAGGGCTCATGAGAAATGGAGATTTTAATTCTGGGAAGTCTTCTCAGGTGCCACCCAGGGATCTCTTGCACCACTACAGGACTTCAGGGGAAAATGGCTTTGAGCAATCCTGGCATCCTGCTTCTGATCACATGAGAACAGAAGATACTTGGAAGTTTGACACCCCTGCCATTGAGCGCACCCTTAACCAGTCTCTCTTTCTGGATAATTTGTGCACTGACCCTCTCCACAGGTTCCAGAGGTTCAATCCAAATTCTGGGGCAGCTGAGGCAGGAAAGGACCATTATAAGGTGCTGCCAGAGAGTAAGCAGGCAGCGGGGGCTAACGGAGTCTGTGAGCCCCAGGATGGAACGTGGCCGAGTGGGAACAGACTGATGCCAACAGGACTCCAGGCCAACAACTTCTATCCAAAGCCTGTAAGTCCTCCATCTCGAGCATGGATGCAGGAAGCCTGCACACTACACCCACATGAGAGGGTCTGTGAGCTCAGTGCTTGGAAACAGCAGCTGGACAAAGTGCGATTGCAAGTAGAGCAAATGCAGGTAAGGAGCTGCTTGTGTGAATGTATGAGTTTGAAACCCACCCTGTTTCTTCAGTCATGTTGTTCCAGACTTACAAAGCAAGAAGGGAAAATGTCTCCTGCTTCTCCCTGTCTTACACTGGAAGTCTGTTAATGATCTGTTTCTAAAGCCCGTGGTGTCACAGGTATCATTTGACGTGCTGCTTATGGAGAGCAGCTCTGTATTATGTTACAGCACTGCACAACAGTTCAAATCAAGAGAGAAATATCCTGTCTGCTAGAAACTGAAGAAAAAGCATGTGAAGAAGTTCTTCACTCCTACAGTAGCTGTATTCCTTATCTAGAGCTGGGAAACACTCTTTTTGTTTAAAAAAGCTGCATAAAACTGAGCAGTTTATTAGATGGAAGCAGTTTGTTTATCCCACCAGCTGTACCCAAATGGAGACAAATTGTTTCCAGTGAGCTAAAATTATTTGTTAATCTCCAGTTGTGCTTGGGCAAAGTTACTTGTTCTCGGACATCGACGGAGACTGAAATAGCTTCGTCCTGGCATGCAGATGAGCACACAGGGTGCAAAATAGCTCTAGCAGTGCTGCAGTTACCTCTGTGGAGCACAAACCTCTCCTTCCTCATTCTGTCTCCTCTTTCAGTTACAAAATGGAGGTGCTTGCCACCATCCTTCCATGTATTCTCCTTCGTTGCCTACTCCTGATCCAGCTCAGTGGATCAATATCCTCAACTCCAATGAAAACCTGCTCAAGGAGAAAGAGCTCCTCATTGATAGGTGAGAGTTTGCTACTGGCATGTGGTGTAAGGGCTCCAGTGCATTTCCTTTTGGAAAGGGAGAGGTTTGAAAGTATCAAGGAAAGGTCGTATCTCAGAGTCTCTCTTGCCCATCTGAGCTTCTTTTGTTGCAAAGAGCAATATGATTGACCTTTGAGAAGAGCATATATTTTTCATGAGCTCTCCTCCCTTTCCTTTTGGAATTAGGATGATGATCCTGAAGGAATCAAATCAATTTTGATTATGATTCTCTATGCTTTATAAAGGATAAAGATTTCCATCATGATTATCTGGAATGTCAAAACTACTGCCTTTTTGCTTGAGGATTCCCTGGGAACCCTTAGAGATCTTTAAATTAGTTCTTTGTGAATTCAGGCTGTCAAACACTTTTCTCACACCTAATGCTGTGGTCTATAAGCTTTTGGAAAATATAAGTCCTGATAAAACTACCTTCAGCATTTGGGCTGTAAATACTGTTTCTGGTTGCTCATTTGGAGTTGTCTGTCACTCACATAAGCTCCACAACCAAGCCAGGTCCTCCAAAGCATGGAAGGCTTGTGTGTTTTACCTATAATCATTGCTTGGGGGGGGGATAGCTTTGAAGGCAGGGAAGAAAAGTTAGTACCAATTCTAAAACACTTTGAAATGGATATCATGGAATCTTCAGATGATTTCTCTGCAGGTCACTTCTGAGTTGCAGAGTTGTCTTTCTGTTCTGCTTGTCCCTGTATGGAGCATTAGGGTTGGGGTGGCACCATTCATGCTGTATTGCTCTGCTGTGTGTTTGAGGACAATGTATTACCAGTTGGGTTTTTCACAGGCAAAGACAACACATATCACAGTTGGAGCAGAAGGTCAGGGAAAGTGAACTGCAGGTTCACAGTGCCCTGCTTGGCTGTCCAGCAACCTATGGAGACGTCTACATGCTGAGAATGCAGGTAATTGGATGCAGCAGGGTGTCAGTAAGAAATGGGTATTGAATCCAAGGGCCTTATCACTTCTTATGATGTGCTTCCTGAGTAGGAGGGCTATGCAGAGTCAAGTGATCCTTTGTATGGGATCCCTATTACCTGGTTTGGAGACTTCAAGTCCTGAAGTACTATGGTTTGCTTAGAAGCTGTGCTAGTGATGCAAACGCCTGACAGCACTGACAAATGCTCTTCAGGTACTGCAGTGTATAAGATGGGCTGACTGATGTTTGGGGATTAGGGGGGCTCAGAACACAGCTCAGAGGCTGCACAGCTGCTTAATGCCAGCTTGTCTCTGCAGGAGCTGCAGCGGGAGAACACATTTCTTCGAGCACAGTTCACAGAGAAGACTGAATCCCTCAGTAAGGAAAAGATTGAATTGGAGAGAAAACTGGCTGCTGCAGAGGTGGATGCAAAGCTGATCCGGGAATCACTGAAGGAAACTGTGCAGAAACATGCAGAGGAGTTAAAAAAACAGGAAGAAAGGGTATGATCCCATTGCTCTAGAGATGGGAAGGTGTTTTTGCTTTGAGAACCTAAAAGTCCATGTAGTGCTGAGATGAAAGCTTTTTGTGGCCATGTGTCATTGGAGGTATTTTCTGGTCTCCTTGTAGAGTACTTTGGATTACAAGCAAAAGCCCTTCCTCCCGCAGTTAGAAGTATTTCAGTACCTCCTCTTTTAACCAGAGAGGAAGCTTGTCTTTTGGCTAAATGAGCAGAGATGCTGCTGAGTTAAGGTGATCTTGTGTTTTGGTGTTGAGTGCTGTACAGAAGGGTAAATGAGGCTTACATGGGACTGAAGAATGGACAAGAAATTATATGAACTAAACTTGTTTATAACTGTCCCTGCAGGTAAAGGGAAGAGACAAGCACATTAATAACCTTAAAAAGAAATGCCAGAAGGAATCTGAACAAAACAGAGAGAGACAACAGAGAATTGAGACCCTGGAAAGATACTTGGCTGACCTACCAACCCTTGAGGACCACCAGAAACAGAGTCAGAAGGTAAAACTTCTGTTGAGCTGTGATGATAGCTCTTCATATACTTGCTCAGGTGACTTTTCTACAGCTGCAGTTTATCCCCTGTGCAGCTGCACAAGTAAAGTTGTGGTCTGGCCTTTTTGGAGGAGGAATGTCCTGAGCTATAGCTGAGAATTGTCACATAGGTACTAAAAATTGACATCACAAATGTAGTTGAAACATGCTATGTGTGGTAAAACCCCTGGGAGGTCTCTAGAATGTTACGATGGTCTTTGTTGCAGCTGAAGGAATCTGAACTGAAGAGTACTGCTATGCAAGAAACAGTGCTGGCACTGGAAACAGAGCTTGAGGATGTCCGGGCTGCTTTCAGGGAGCAAGAGGTGCAGCTAGAAACCCAAAAACACAAGGAGCTGGAGCTTCTTTCCACTGTGCGCAGGTAAAAATCAGGAGGATTAGAGTAAGCTTCCTCTTAGCACTGCAGTAATTGCTGCACAAGAGCAGTGATGATTCAGCACAGCCACTGTCCCTCCTGTCAGAACCTGGTTACCATGGATTTGTGATGATTATGGGAGTGCTTGCCAAAGCCACACACCAGCAGTGGAGGGTGGGAGCAGAACCACATGCTGAAAGAAAGGGGGCCCCTGTTCTGTTACCTGGGTTTGTCTGTGTCCTCAGGTTACTGCTCTTATCAGCCATAACTCCTTGCAAAATGGACCTACTTAATCTGCAATTGTTGTCTCTGAAAATGTGCCAATATCATGGGTAGAGCTGTGTCCAAGGAGAGAGATTTCTGTCATAGCCCTGGCAACACTGACACCCGAGAAAATGAAAATCATTTGCCCCCTCACAGTGAGGGAAACACCCTAAATAAGGCTGGTTTTCCCATGGTGTTCTCCCTGTTTCAGCTTGCAGGATAAGGTGCAGCAGTGTGTGAAGAATGCAGAGAGAGGAGCCCCTGCCCAGGATGGGGAGAGACAGAAGATAGAAAATGACTCTCTGAAGAAAGAATGTGACCGCCTCAGGAAGGTAACAGTGCCCCAACTGGGAATCACACATTTCCCCTTCCACTGAGTCACACCAGGCACTAAAAATGAAATCAGGGACTTTTGCTGTCACTGTTGTACTGAAGCAGCAGTTCCTGGAATTCCAGACTGAGGGGTTTTAGAAGCTGTTCTTGGTGTGGTAACTGTGCTTTCCTGCAGTTAACACTGGAGAGAAGTTGCAGAAAAGAGAAGCAGCAAACCATGTGAATGCAACTAGTCCAGTCTGTATTTAGCTGATACTTCTAATGGTGCCTTTTATCAGGTGCCGTTCATCAGGGAATCCACTACTAACAGAAGCAGTGATTAAAGCAGTAAATGGACAGGGAAAGGGAGGAGAGGGGATGCTCTCCTACTGAAGGAGAAATCCTGGTGGAATTACTGAGTTTGTGTGGCCAGTTCTGATGCTTCTGCTTTGGATTGCAGATTGTGGACAAACAACAGAAGAAGGCAGAGCAGTTGTCCTTGCAAGTAAAGGTGAGAGGTGACTGTGGAGGGACCCAGAACTTGAGAATCTGCTGTGATGTGAGTTAGACTGACTGCTTACCCATGGTCTGTTCCAGAACCTGGAAGAACAGGTGACCCAGGAAGAGGGGACAAGCCAAGCTCTGAAAGAGGAGGCAGTGAGAAGAGAAAATGCCCTGCAGCAGCTCCGGGTCGCTGTGAAAGAGGTCAGAGCTGGACTGTTTAGTGCCTAAGCATAGCAGCTGAATGAACAAGAAGCTGTCTTCTAGCTAGGCCCTTAATTTGCAGTCAGCAGCACAACCTCTCCTGCTTCCTGCTAGTCAGTTGCTCTGAAAGGAGCTCTTCTCTGTTCAAAAGCAGGGGGAGAAAGGCAGTTCCTGCCTTGGGAACTTCAGGTGGGGCTGTGGGCTGCGGTGGAGAACGCCGAGTTTGCCAGCTGGGGGCAGCACGGCAGCGAGCAGGACTCAACCTGGCCTCTGCAGCCCTGGTTGAAGGGCTGAGCCCCACTCTCAAGCCTGAAGGAAGGCAAGCACAACGGCAGCCCTTGAGGGAAGGGATGGCCGGTGTTGGGGTGAGCAGCTGATGCACAACCTGCTGGAAGCTTAGGTTGTTGCATCATGCCTCAGCAGGGATAGTGCAGGTCATGGGGTGCTTCCTGTCTGAGCCAGGGAAGCCAAATTCTGACCTTAGAATAGAATCATAGAATCAGCTCGGTTGGAAACAAAGACCTTTAAGATCATCAAGCCCAACCACTACCCCAGCACTGCCAAGGCCACCACTGAACCATGTCACTAAGTGCCTTATCTATATGTTGGGGGTTTTCTTAATGCTTCCAGGGGTGGTGATTCCACCACTTCTCTAGGAAGCCTGTTCCAATGCCTGATCACTGTCTAGGTGAAGAATTTTTTCCGAAACCTTGTAGGACTGGCTCTTGCTTATCTGACAATAGTCTGGAGGGCTTGATATAAACCAGCTCCTCCCGCCTTCGATGCTCCCATCATCATCAAGCAGTTGTGTGAAGTTGTTCTAGGTGTGCTAGTTCCAAACCAGGTGACCACTAACCTGCTGTGCCCATTTGTTCAGCTCTCAGTGCAGAACCAGGATCTCATTGAGAAGAACCTGACCCTTCAGGAACGGCTCCGTCAGGCAGAGCTGACAACCCAGCCGCTGCCGGCTGAGATAGCCCGCCTGGCGCAGGACCTGCACAGCGAGCTGGCCAGCTGTCTGCAAGACTTGCAGTCTGTCTACAGCATTGTCACTCAGAGGGCTCAGGGCAAGGATCCCAACCTCTCTCTGCTCCTGGGAATTCGCTGTAAGTATGTGGAGTTATGATAGAGCAAACCCCTCGGTTCCTGTGCCGTGGCAGAATTAAACTCATGTATAATATAGCACTTCTATAATATAGAAGAGGTTCTCATCTTTCTAGGATTCTGAACCTTCTCTCTATGGTTAGCCAGCTCTGAAGGTGCATGCTGTAAGAACTAAATGTTAAGTAGCACCTCTTTTGCAAACATGCATTGGGTTTTCTGCCTCACTTGCAAATGTGTATGATCCTTGGTCAGAATTACATGTTGAGGTGACTCCCTTCTCTGACTCCACAGCTGTGCAGTACTCTGCTAAGGAGAAGGATGACTTACTGAGCCCTGATGGACTTGCAAAGAAACTGGTGGAGGTAAAACAGCTTCACAAAGAGGTGGAGGACTTAAGGACGGCAATATCTGACAGATACGCTCAGGACATGGGAGACAACTGCATCACCCAGTAGAGAATACTCCCCAAAGTAAGACAGGAAATGAAGACTTGAAATTCTCAGGAGTCTAGAGCTCCTACAGCTCAAAACCTATTCAGCACTTTACCATCCCTTTGCTCGGGTACAAGATGTGTGACTTATCTAATCCATGAGAATGCAGGGGGCTTCTTGCCAGAAGTGTTTAGCTGCTGAACTGGAATCATTCAGGGCTTTGGTGTCAGGCTTTGCAGTAGCTTTGATCTTGTGGAATGTGTTTAAGCTGTGTTTGCTGGAGCTGGTGTGGTCTCTGATGCTGGGAGATGAATTCTGAATTACCTTCCAGGCATGTCAAATGCTGAACATGCGAACTTGACAGTTAAAATCCTCACTAAAAGGAAACGTATGTCCTGGTCTTTCTGATAAATTCTCTGTGCAGATCCTGTGTGACTTGTAAGACCAGAGGATTCTTGGATTGTTCAGGGACTATCTGTGGAGCAGGACCTGCTTTCCTCAGGTAAATGCACCTGGAGTCTTTCAGTAGCCAAGAGCAGTTGGGCAATAAAGCAACACTAAAAGAAAACTCTGAAAATGCTCCCCCTGGGCACTGCTGCCCCAGAAGCCTTAAGCTTTTTATGCCCCCAAAATAGCACTCTGTGTGTGGGTATGATTCAGGCTGCAGAGGAAGCAGATTGATGCTGAAGTGCCTTAATGTTCTAGAGAAACCTCCTGTCCCCACGCTAATGCATCCGCTGGCAGGGGGAGAACCTGCTGTTTCTTGTAGCAGCCTCTAGAACCATCTAGAGGCTCTGCACTCCAGGGGACCTGCCCAGGGCAGTGAGGAGATGCACCTCTGCTTGGCCCTCAGCTTGCTAGGGAGAAAGCCAGTCTGGTCCTGCCTTGGCAGGATGGCACAGCTGGATCTGAGAGCTCTTCCTACTGCCTGCAAGGCAGTGACTGCTTGGGCTTTGTTGTAGCCATGCCCCTTGATCTCTGGGAACTCCCTGCTCCTCTGCTAAATAATGGGATTTGCTTTAACACAACCCTCCTTAACCTAGTGACAACTCTACAGCACTTGCTTGTGTCAATGCTGTGGTGCTGAGGGTGGAACTTTTTTGGTTTTCAGCTTGAGTTAAGAGCAGGATAGTCAGTCAGTTGTATTACGGGAGAGAAAATACGGCTGAAACTTCTGCTGGTTGCTTGTTTCTTGGTTCATGTTGGGGCTGCAAGCCCGAGGTTTGGGAGAAAGGCTTTTGTTGTTCCTTTTTACTTAAGACCAAATCTGTTTTGTTGTTAGTGTTTGGCCACCATGGGTGATGGTGGCAGAGAAGTGGTTAGTTTGCTGTCCTGAGCTACCCCCTGCATGGCACAGGGAGAGAGCACAGCAGCATCTGCCCTGTTCTTCCTGCATCTGGTGTATTACATTTCAGGCTGTCTCTGTTTCCAGCCTGCTGCTGCCATGTACGGAGCTAAATGTGGGCCAAGGCTGTTTCCTCAGGTCGTTTGTGCTGGCTGCTGGGAGCTCTCTGGGCACTGGGGTGCAGAGCAGCACCGGCTGTGAGCTGCTCTCTCAGTAGGGTGCTGTTTGGCACCATCCCCTTTCCCCACTTTAGGGTGCAAGATCTAATTCCCAGGTGCTGTGTGGGGACACGTTTGTCCTCTGTCCCTGCAGAGCTGGCTGTGAAATGAGATAGTGGCTGAAACCAGCTCAGTTGATGCTCGGAGCCTCACACCCGGCCCTGTCCCAGCAGCTGGGGGAACCCTGGATTGTGTGTTCCTCTCTCCTCCTCATGCAAAACTGGACCCGTTTGGCTGAGATGGTGATTTTATCTGCTGTACACGCCGTGCAGAGGAAACTCGGGGCCTCTTCTTTACGGAGCCCCCCAGACAGGGGCAGCAGGACCACATTCTCACCCCGTTTGCCTGTTTTCTTCCGTGTGCCCCCGTCGCGTCGGGCGCTGTGTATTTGTACCGGCCTTTGTCTCACCCACTTGTTTGTACTGAGTGTTTTGAGTATAAAATAAAGCTGCTCTGCTCCACCCGTGCGAGGCCGCCCCGCTGCAGGGGAGGGGTTGCGGCG